TATACGGAAGTAATTATTGACTTGTATTTAGATGTGAGGATTGTTGTATGCACGCGCAAGCGCGTATGCATATATGTGCGTATGTGTGCGGGTGTATACATGTAGTATAAGTGTGTGTATATGTGCATGCATGTGTATATGTTTATATGTGTATATATGTGTGTATGTGTAATGTAATTGTCATCTTTGATAATGGCTTATGTAAGCCGAAAGCTTAGATAGGATTAAAAAATATGTATCAATATTGTGATTTTCTTTCTTCATTTAATGATAATGTTATTAAGCTTATCAGACGATATGAAATGAATTTACATGAAATAGACAACTCTTCTCTATATTATTTAATGAAACATGTATCAATGAAAAAATGCTGCCTAAATACACACATCTTTATATGTGTATATATGTATATATGTGGATACGTGTGTAAATATGTATGTATATGTATATATATATATATATATATATATATATATATATATATATGTATATAAAGTATGTATATATGTGGTTGTTTATGTGGCTGTACATGTATTTGTATATGTATAGGTGTATATATATATTTATGGAAATATGTATGTGGTGTGTATGAATATATGTATAAGATATGGTTGTATACATATATAGATATATATGCGTGTATATTTGGGTATATATAGAGATTAACTGTAAAGACAATAATTTGTTTATTACCTTCTAATCTTACTTCATGTTGAAATAATTTCTAATTACATTTGACGAATTACTCATCTAGAAATAGTTTCAAATTAAATCGATCAATTAGATTTAATTAAGTAATATTACTCCTTAATCATTATTCACAATATTAAAAATAATAAAATTAGTAAAAAAAAACTTTTGAGAATTTAAACACTATCTAACGATAACTGTAAAATTTAACAATATTTAAAATTTAACCTTAATCCCTATCTAACGTTAACAGTAAAATTTAAAAGAAAATCTAAATATGTATATATATATCAATGCGCACATAAATATGTGTATGCAAATATATATATATATATATGTGTGTGTGTGTGTGTGTGTGTGTCTGATTATGTATGTATCTGTATGTGTATCGATGCATGTGTATGTGGTAGCATATGTATTTGTATATGTATACGGGTGTATGTGTATATATATTTCCGTAAATATGTATAAGGTGTGTATGATTATATGTATATATATATATATATATATATATATGTGTGTGTGTGTGTGTGTGTGTGTATATATATATATATATATATATATATATATATATATATATATATATATATGGATTAAATGTAAAGATAATAAATTCTTTTTATTATTACCTTCAAATCTTACTTCATCTTGAAATTGTTTTAAATTAGATTTGAAAATTTAGACTTTAATTAAGAAATATTACTCATCTAGAAATAGTTTCAAATTAAATTGATGACTTAGACTTTAACTAAAAAATATTATTTTTTAACCGTTATTCACAATATTAAGATATCTTTTAATATTAGTAATTTTTATTTTTTTATATTTTGTTTATTGATATAATATTTAGTTATATTAAATTCCTAGATTATTTCTGGAGACTTTAAACAAATAAGCTTCAATTAGGCTATTAAATGTTAAAAAATCTAATAAATATATAAATATATTTTTATATATTATATATACATGCTTGAACATACATTAATTTCCCTCTCCAAATTTATATTCAATTATCAAAATGTTTTAATTTTTTTAACACTAAGTCCATTGTCTTATTTTTTACATCTTTACATCTTTCCTTTTTTTTTTCTTTTTCTTCTTTTTTTCTTTTTTTCTCTTTATATTGTTTCCGGTGCGTTGACCTATTAAATAGGTCAATTTCTGATCCTCGCTCCCCTCCTCACTGGGTAAGTATTGTAATAAAAAATAAATTTAAAAGTATTCCCATCTCTTCCTTCCCTGTCGAATTTCGACCATGTCTGCCACACTATCTCTCCCCACTCTATATCCCATTACTACATAATCTTAATACTGCCCTTCAAAAGTGTAAGTTTAAATTCATTTTTTCATCCTTTGAAGTGAGGTTGATGATCCAGAGAAATAGAAACTCACTGGTGAAAAATAAATTATAACAATGGTACCTTAAAAACAAAATCTGTTTTCTTTAAATGTATATATATATATATATATATATATATATATATATTCCGATGTTTTTGACGTGTATGTGTATAGAGCGGTTCCTGATGGAACAGGCAGACAGCCCGAATATGTGATTTGGTTATAGTAGCCAGAGCTTCTTGCAGAACTAATCAAAATTTTTCGGAATAACCAAATACACTGAGTTGTATTTCTTCTTCGTCGACTTATTGGAAGCCTCTTGTTCGATCTCAAAACTCAGCCAACCTCTGTCTTACTATGAAACTCGTCACTGTTGGGGGTGGGCGAAGAGATGGATTCATA